TAATTTTTATCTAAAAGTGTTGAAAACTATGATTCCTCTTGCCTACATGCAGGTGACAGTGAATCAATAAGGAGTGTTATACTTGAAAATAAATTCAACACTGGTCGTCAAGCAGTATATGAAGAGAATTCATTCAGAGTCATCTACAAAGTCAAAAGAAGCTTCCTGAGTATGGTAAGCTTCCGTATGATTAGCATTCCCAAGACCTTAGCGATCCGGATAGAAAATCTTCTTTATGTACGCAGAAGGGACTTCTCTATTCTCTCCTTCTACCTTGCGTATAATTCCAAGTTTTAAGACTTTGTTAGTAATCCTTTTTTGAATCTTTGTGTGGTTTCTTAATGATATGTTTTTCTTAAAGTACCCTTTAATTACTGTTTCTCCGTATTGCATAATTTCTTCTGGACACATGTCTATATGCTCTTCCACAAACATCCTATTTTCCTGTGTTTCTGTCAACAGCATTCTGATGGATGCATTTGCTTACCTGTAGACATACATGATTTTAATCTCATGTACACATGAATAATTCCATTTTTAGGCATTTGATATTGAAAATTCGATATTCCATGAATCGAGATTTTGCCAGTCTTTTAATGTGAGATCATCAGTCGAATTAGTGTCAGTAGAAATTTTGAGCATTGTGGAATAAATCAAATCAAACCTGTCAAAGGGAGTGGAATCAAGACATTTGGGCATAGCTGAGGCGTTAGCTATCCAAAAACTCAAACCCACTCTTTGTATCCAAAAGAAATACATTCAACCCCTGTCCCTGCCATGGCCATCGTAAACAGGTAAAATTTTTTTATAATGACCATCCCATCGCCTTTCTTATCTAAACTTCCTGTTTATTCATGTTATTTCAAGTTTTCTTAATCCCTGTCTACACTACCATATTTTCATATCCACGCTTCCTGTTTATTTTGTCATTTTACTATTTCTACATATTTAATCCCTGATTGCATAAAAAATTATTCATCACACTAGTTTTTTATCCAAACATCCTGTATATTTTGTTATTTTTACATTTCTAACCCCAATTGCACAATGTCAATCTTCTTAGTTATTATGCTACTTTGTTTGAGTTTTACCCATCCCCCTGTTTATTATGACATTCTAATTCCTAATTGTAATTTTTACTAATTTAACCCCTAACCAGAAATTATTCTGGAACTTTCCCACCCATTTGATATAAATATACAAATGTACAGCCTAGATGATGACTTCGTCGAAAAGAAAATTTTCTTCGCTGCAACTGTCCTTTTATTCCCTATAAAATGAAGTATAATTATATTTCAAGGTTTTACACACAATGAAAGGTTTTGTTATTGGTAATATTTCGAACAAAATATAATTATACTTCATTTGATCTACTCCACAATGCTCAAACTTTTCCCTGACATTATTACAACTCAATCATCAAACTATTCATATAGTTGCGTAAATCCCTTTTAACAACTGTTTGTGACAACTCTGTTACTAACCTAACTCCATTAATACCCAATTTTCTTAACCGATTTTGTATTAAGTAACTCTACCGAAAACTTACTAATTCTCACCTCCCACCCACCCCTGCTTTAGTTAAAATAACCATAACCTATTGTATTTTCGTTTGATAAACCTGATGTACACATACACACAAAATAACCTAGAGACATTTGCGATTGTACGGCTAAGAAAAAGAATTCGCTGGGGAGAGATTCTTCGCTGAACTACGTGTTTTGTTTTCATTAATAATCAAACACACGAAACATTTTCATTTGACAGACCAAGATGATATCATCTCCACTGCATAATCTTGTATTCATCGAAACAAAATGTCCATCTTAAAATAATAAGTTCTTACCAACGGTCAACTACCATGCAACAACAAGTGAAGCACTAAGAGTAGCAATCAACCGCAAATGAAGACCAGTGATAAGGATATGGTACACAAGTCAAGGCAAAAGTGCTATTAATTACACGTTTAGGTGGAATGTTCAAATAGGCTTATTCATTTTCAAATATATTTTTAAGGGGGGTTTTCCGACCATATTGTGTGTTCTATGTGTCGAGACAGTACGAAGTACAGTCCAAATGAATTCTGATTGATTCTCTTCTATTTGCATACAGCACAATTAGAAATTACAAAAAACAACGCATATATGGAGTATTGCATTCATATTTATAGACAGACATTGAGTGGGTGGGTGGATGAATTTTATAACCTACTGATTTACTTATAATTACATGTTACATTGTGCTTACTTTAGCTTACTAGATCCAGGATGATATGCAGAAGATTCTATTTCATACTGTCTATAATAATATGCATTTTCATCAATCAATGTAAGTGTTGATGATATGAATGATTTCTTATCTTGGTGTTGCTTATTCCTTTGACTGCTGAAAATGTTTGGTTCCTATTCCTGAGTCAAACAGCTAAATTACCAGATAACGTACAAGTTTAGCGTTTGGTTTGCTTCACTTCAGAAAGATGATGTGAGCACAAGTAGTTTGAATGACTTCAGAATGTTTCGTGGGAAAAGTATTTAATCACAGCGACAGCTTTTATCTTCTCCATATGACCTGTCAAATTATAAACATAAAGCCTCGATAACTGCTGAATAACTTTGTTCCTATATTGTTGAAGAAGTCTTCGTCAAGGAAAGTTATGATGACTTGGTGAAACTCATCAATTCAGGAATATGGCAACTGTCATCTTAGTCTTTGCAACAAATCGAATACCAATTATTGAACGGTTTGACAATTCAACACCTATATATCGATAAAGAGGCTTTCATTGTATTGACACTTTGGAAGTAATCCTCCTCCCTGGAATATATTCAATATTTGTATGCCGAGCAGTACATGACTGTGAATATTGCGACATTTTCTGGAGTGTCTTACTTGATTCGTTTCCTTATTACGAACGTTATCAGAATGTCTTCTGCCCTAAACTTCCAGGTGAATCGAGGTAAGCATTAGGTGTGGCGTGTAATTCAGTGCACAAGTGTTCATTCTCTTAAAACACGCACCCCATTTAAAAGAAATTGTAATCCTTCATTGCGATGAGGACAGTCTTCATTTGAAGACAGAATATTTGAGAAGTAACGAAAATTTGATGGTTTAATATTCTGCCATATAAACTTTCCAGTTTTAAGTTACTTTTTTAACAACTAGTCCATTTCATCTTTCAAGTTGGTTGAAAAATCCGTGAGTTGAAACATACAACAACAGTGTTGAAAGTTTAAACTACACAGCATTCTATTTTCAATTTGTTATTTACCTGTTGTGAATATATAATGATAGACTTTCACTTGTGAAACATGATCTTATGTGACACATTCTGAGAGTAAATTGCTAAAGCTTCCCTTGAATACAATCCGCATACAGATAGGTCTGCTTAATACAATTTTAAATTTTCCCGTCGATCGATTGCACCAAAGTGTTCGGTCTAAGGTTAACATTTGGGTTCCTTGTGCAGATGCTTCTAACATGTCTGGGCATGTAATTAGAAGTTAATTGGTGGATGGTCACTAGCAGTGGAATCCAGGATGCCCAATTCGTCCTATTTGGAATGCAGACGACGAGTCCAATTGGGACGAAATGCGCATTCTGGATTCCAGTGCTGGTCGCCATTGACCAGTTAACTTCTCAAAAGGTCTGTGTTACACATAAGTTTCATTTGAAATTTTAACCATAATTCAAAGCTGTGGAAAGATCTCATGTTCTTACTAATTTCCATATGTGTATTGCCGGAAAATAGAAAATACACAGTCGCATTCAAAATGTGATATAAGAAAATTTGGGCATTGTATTACATTAGAAACAAACTGTATATCAGAATAATTTCACTTGATAAAACCTACACGGGTACAATATTAAGTAAAACATTTATTGATAACGTTTCGAGCAGAATGTACTCTTCGTGATCACATCAGAATGCTCACATAACATTGGATTTTGGATTTTGATTAGATACCTTGAGTATTTCTTATCATTTGATTTTATCGTTAATGGTATATATGGAACCTCAGCTATGGGTGCAGCATCAATCGTATCGGATCTGTTAGATGTAGGTTAGATAAAGAAAAAAGTCAAGGTTGGACATTTCTCTCCACGTAATTCCACAATTGATTTCTAACCATCAATATGTCTTACCCTTATGTGTGTGACTGTGTTTCCTGTGGTTGTATTCCCTAAACTGCGTGACTGGTTGTTATTTCATTCATTGCGATATTTTCTATTATGCAACCCCTCTGACGCCAGTCATTCGCTGTCTGAATAATCAGACCGACTGTTAGCTTTCGATAAATCGACCATTTGAACGTGCCATCCTCTCTTCCATCTAACATGAACCACATCTAGGAAGTGAAATGCGAAATTCGATTCTTCTTCGATAGTGAAAAACATAGATGGGTGAGAAGCACTACACTTTGCGTTAAGGATGACCCACTGCATTTGTCCACCTCTATGTGCATATACTCATTCACATGCTCGTGTGGAGCTGATTCCACTAAACGTTGTAAGCGTGTTCTCCGTAAAGGCCTAGCAGGACACCAGCGCCCTGTTTGGTTAATGAAAGGTGAGTGTAGAACGACGAAGTCTTCAATATGTGAATACTTATCTTGTGTCAAAAGATTACCAAATCCTTGTGAAAGCATACATGACTGATTTTCAAGAGTTGGTTTGTAAGGATTAGGCTTGTTTTCAAGTGTTTTCCCACGGATTCATGCTAGTTAGAGAACCATTGAAAACCAGCACATCAGTACTGGACAGCTGTTTCATCCTAGCTTTGGAATCATTGGTAGTACGCACCCACCCATGGACCTTCCGGTTACAAGGCAAACTATCCCGCCAACCATTCAGCTACTGGGACCCGTTCCATCGCCCCATGAATTCCAATTTCTACCAATTCGTGGGCCACAGAGATGTAATTAAATGTCTCAAAATTAACCCGGAAGTGGCTGTTAGCACTTCCTTGAAAATGAAATCACAGACAGAATTTATTCGATTTCTAAATTATTTAGCTGACCATTTCATGAATTTTCTCGTTTCATCGTTAACTCGTGTTTTTTAATGTCAATCAAACACTTTGTTAAATTACTCAATTCATGTTTTGCACAATTTATCAATCCAATCCGCCTTTCAATATTTACAAGGAAAATTTTGTTTGAACTTATGTAAGTCATAATGTCACAATGTGCGAATAAATCAACCTTTTTATGCATCTGAAGATTTTTTGTTTTCCAATAGCCTCAGGTATACTGCTGCTGTGCCATACACAATTCGGAGTTAAATTCCTGTCTCAGCATCAGCCTAATTCATCCTTCTCTGAAAGTTAATTTCCCTGGTGAAAACGGGAAAACTACGACTGAATAAAATGAACAACTTGATTTTCAGACGATGTATGCCAATGTTTGCCAATGTTTGGACATCATTATAGCAGTAACTTTAAAAATGCATAGTTGTGTCTGCTCATATGAAGATAGGCGTATGTAAATATATATTGCCTGCACTTATTGTTGTTGTAGGCGAACGGTCAATTGCTCTTGCAATCGTTCAAACGTTGTATGCTTGAAGGAAGTTTTACGGTGAACTAACCATGAATATCCCACTTAATCAGATTTGTTTGTTTCGTGATTGTCAATATTCGTGTTGTCTTTACAGAAGGCATAATCCTAGAAACCCAACTAGATAACTTGGTTGGACGGAAACCGCTAAATCGAATTGAGGCAACATTCATCACTTCAGTGATTACACTGCTCATTCTTCACTGCTGTATTATCTTCAATTGCAAATGTTTCTTTTTGAGTCTCGGCACTAATACTCGGTGATTATTCCAAACTGTTATTATTCTTCATGCAACGTACTCCTAGCATTTACTATCAATAATGAAGCATGATATTTTGTAAGGAGACACTTGAGTACTGAGATATTTCATGTTAACTGACTGACTCTGTTGTCACTTCTTTAATGTCACAGTTCATGGTCACTCGGGTTGTCAACATACACTATTATTATCATTATTGTTATCATTATGCGAATAATAAGCATTCTGCAAAATTAGCACAGGTAGGAAAGGTGAAAGCGATCTTGAAATTTTTCTGAAATATCTGGCGTACTATGTTCCACTAGGTAGGATTGTGAAAACGTCCCATTCCTTCGGAAAATCATCGAAACAACACATTGTAAGAAACCGACTAAAATAGCGTCCAGAAATAACTAGTGATAATAAATGATGTTCGCATTTCTAAGAAAGAGAACACCGTTCGATATTCTTTCTAATAAGACGCGAAATCACAGAAGATGATCCCTATTCAAAACTTGACTATAAACCAAGAAAAGAGGAATGTACGACAGCTTTACTGCAGTAAAAATATCAATATCACATACAATACACCTTAGCACATCTTTTGTGTAAATGTTGTACCAAGTAGAACTGCACACCTTCGGAATGCATGTGCATTATTAACTACTAAAAATATCCTCTGAGTAATCAATTTGTACCGCCAAATTAAACCACTCACTGTTAGATGTCAAAATCTATCCAAAGAATTAAAGGCTAATCACTGTTTTGATGATATCCATATTCCTTGACACCAAATACCTTCCATCGATATTTGTGTGAAAACGACTATTGGTCTCTCCATCTCTTTGTCTATCTGTCTGTATTGACGTTCACATATTTATTCAGTGAATTTGGTGTTATCTTTCCTTAGAATACGTATATGGGGATGGCTTGAAGCATGCCTATTCAAAGCCGACTACTGGAGAAATGTTCTCTTTTTCGATCCAGTTACTACAGCGACCGCAACGACAGCAGCAAAAGCATCAGAATCATCGAGATGATTGAAATATTCGCTTTATTGCAAACAAGACGCTTGATACATTGTCCTATTCTGAACACCTGACAGCTGTTTGTGAAATCAAAATTTACTGAAAATGTTGATTAGTTGTAAAGAAATATTATTTTGCAACTGATTTATTCTGAAATAATCAAAAGATGCAAATAATTTCAGGATTATTTACTTTTTATATTTTATTCACTCGTTGGTGAGACTCTAAATCGTAGGGAATTGCATAAGTAAGATGCACACTGATGACTTATAAGTTGTATAAAACTCTCAATTATTATCGTGATTACAAATTGATATTTCTAAATGTTGTTTCTCACTCTTCGAATAAAAATCCTCTTCTATAGATATTTCTCATAGGAGTTTTGGTTTCATTCGATATTTCCTCTTCTGCTAATTATGCCTGCGCCTTTTTCAGATGATATCTGTGCACAAATGAGAGGCAGGGATTCAACTTCACAAGTCTCTCTTCGCAGTGTTGACTTTATGAAACGGAATTATTAAAACATTCACTTGCTCGCAGGTCAGCTAGGCCATCTCATTCTGAGGTGAATATAATTCAAGAAGATTCATTGTTCATTTTCTCCAAACATGAGTACTCTGTGTCTCATTTGCGTACGACGAAGGAGTCAAGCATTACCTCAGATATCAAATGGAATTCTTATTTTATGCGTAGCTAAGATGATAATAATTGAGAATGTGAAGTCGATATACGCATCCACGTGAGCGCTCAGAACATGCGATCAATGACTTCACGTCCCACTGCAATTACCAATTTAAAATGTACGTGTGAATACACATACATCTGGAGGATTGATCAATCTCTGGAAATAAGAGCCCAGGAGCAGATTCTTAAATGGCTACAGAAGCAAATAGAATCCCCAGAACCTATCAGTGGTGAGAGCAGGTGACCTAGACCCTCTACTGCAAAACATATTATAGTGACATTGACACAGAATTGATGTTTACACGTCTTTTAAACCGATCTATAAAACGTGTTTGGAGGAGGGCGTATCCTAAAGTTTGTGGAAGCCCTAGAGGGCATTAAGAAGATTATAACATTTTTGTGCGTTCAAAGCAACAATTCGTCATCACATCTAACAACCTTTCTTCGTAAACTTTGTTTTGATACCACCCATGGGAGATGTACTATTACGTCTCTTATTTGGTTTTGGTGATCGACATTGTTACTTTCACCCTCAATATGTCCTTTTAACTAGACCTAAGTCTATTTTTTCACCTCTTAACCCTTCATTAATTTGATATATATATATATATGTAGTCCTAAGACAAGTTCGTGTGTGATCGGATTGTTGGAAATGTGTTGCACAAATACATCACACGATTCAGACGAATTAAATCTTCTTACTGCTTTGCCTAAATTCATATAAGGAACTAACTGTTTCAAATTGGAACTCTTATTATTTAAATAGCAGTGATACAGTGTACGAGAAGTAGTTTGTAGGGATTCTATTTGTACGCAATGTCAAGTCCACAAGCGTAGTCTGGAACACTGTCCAGCTTGGTTAGCTGGCCAGAGGAGGGAAGAAGAAAACTAGCAGCTCCATCTTTGAACACCTTGTCAACTCTAGACATCGAGCACCCCGCATCGCATGAATGCTTCACAGTGCTACACAGAGTCTCGCAATATCGTACAAAGGGACTTCGCATACGCCATCTGTACATAGCTGAATCATTAGCTATTCGAGATCTCAAACCAGACCTCAAAAGTGCTACATACTTTCACTCGTCCTTCCGTGGCCAGAGTAAAGTTGTTAATATTGTCTAAGTTTCCTACTAATATTATTATCATCTTCATCTATATTTTATTATCACTCAATTAGGGTTTATTAATAACAGTGCGTTTTCACACAGATTTTATGTAAACACCTTATCGTCTTTCCACTAGTTCGTGTCCACTCTGCACAATCATACTAATTAGTCATTTTCTCACGCTTATTACGTCACACCAACTTCTGCCACCTTTTCTTACTTCCATTTAGTCACCCCGTCTTGACTCCACCTTACTTGTAATGTTATACATTTTCAAGGACAGAGTTTATGAGTATCTGATTAGTCTTATGAATTCTTTATCAAATATAATTACGATTGTACAGCTTATGAAAACGAGTCATGGAAAAGGAAAGTTTCTTCGCTACTCACGTCTTTTTCTACTTGACTGCCCAGTTAAATTGATCAAAATCGCTAACCTGCATTTTGCGAAGACGCAAAAATTGATGCTCATTTTATTTCATTTGGACTAACCACCAGTGTTCACATTTAGTGTTTTCAAATGGATTAATCCCAGATCTAGGTGCAGAATGTTATCCTTGTAGTACGAATGTTCAGCAAGATCACTTCAATAAATATCTTCAAATAGCTTTTGTCTCACCGACAGAACACAAATGTTTGTAGATAAGAAGGTCAGAGTAGTATTCAAAGTTGCCTAGTGAAGGTATGGAAGTTTATGAGAATATGTGTCCGTCCAATCATTATTTCATGGAAACATTTTGCCTTAACATAACTTGGTATTATTAACCTTCTTTAGATCGATTTTCGCAATTCAATACACTGTCAGTCCTACATATTGTAAGTTATTGTTTGATTAGCTGAGTATAGTGTTTTCAAACAAAGCAATAACAACGAGTGGTGAACGATGAAACGGATCCATCATTTATTTTCTTTGTATCTTTTAATCTGCATGCAACCTGGATAATGAAATGAAATAGATTTGTCACTGATTTAACACATTTCAATTCAATTTCAGATTTTCTCATCGACTGACTGGACTGAAGTGTTTGGTCTCAGGTTGACATGTTCGCTCCTTGTGCAGATGCTTCTACGATGTCTGGTCATGTGATGTGAAGTCAATTGCTGAATGGTGACTAACAGTGGAATCCAGGATGCGGATTTCATTCTATCTGGGACTCGTCGCTTGGATCTGCCTGCATTGGAGCAATATGCTGTTCTGTCCAATGAATCAACGGAAAAGTGAGAAATTGAAATGGCTGGCTGGCTGGATTCAACATAGAACTTGGCACCGAAGCGCAGCAGTTCGAGTTGCCACGTTCCAAATACCACACAAAGGTAGACAAGAAGATAAGTGAAGAGAATCTATAGAGTTTTGATAAGTATCAGAGTGAAACAGAATGAGTTATGGTAGAAAAGAATATGAAAGATTACAGAGACTGAATACATCTGCGCCAATGACAACGATTTTGAGCCATGTCACCTATAGTCTCCAGCCATTGATTCTTAAAGTGTAGTGACTGACAACCCGTTGCACAATGGGTAGTGTGACTCTTGTGTTCCAAGTGGTTTAGTGGTCAACTCTTTGGCGTTTGCAGCTATGGGGACTTGGTCCGGGCCTCTGTGAGAACACCATCACTCACGGAGGATAGCAGGTACATCCAACTGACGAGTCAGTCCCAAATACGAGGAAATACGCGTTGTCCTCGATTTCACAGCTGGTCACCATCCAACAATTGACTTCAACACACTTCAGTTCATTGAATATAAGATATGGAAAAGTAAACTATGCATGAATTTAAAGTTATAAGTACCGCTGTACATATATATGTGCATTGTGATCGAAATTTGTTGAACTAAGCAGAAATTGAGAAGCAGATGTGGCATTAAAATGCTGAGTTACAAAAATTATAAGATCATGTAAGTCGTTGGAAAATGTTATGTGAATAAATGAGATATAAAAAAATGTAATGAGTTAAGCTCATTTAGTTGGATATCAGACAAATGAAGCATGACGCTGACTACATGGCATTACATTAAATGACATTACATACAGAAATCATCGGAAACTCTGGAGTAGAGAACAATAAGTCTCAAGTGATCTAGGATTTACTTCCGACTGACACAGTCAACCAAAAGGAAATGCAAACTAACCTAAAAATTAGTATTGAATGATGTCTCCGAAACAGGAAGCTTCTCTTGAGGCCTATTAGTCTAGTGGATAGTGGTTCCCGTTTCACAACGGTGGATACACAGTTCGAATCACAGTGGGAATACCATCATCCCTCACTGGGGATGCAAGCACGCGCACCCAGGTGACGAAAATCATGTTCTCGATTGTACTGCTAGCTATCATCAACCACCAGAAGGAAGAATGGAAACATAATAGTAATAATAATAGTAAAGCTTTATTTGAGACAATATGCGAACATATATTACGGAAGTTTTCAGCTTATTCAGTTCCAAAATATCTACTCTTCATATAGAATTTACACGTAAAACATCAATGTGAAGTACATCACACGCATCACATCATTTGTCGTATTGTTGCTGCATATCAGCAGAGAATCACTTCTGTATATTTCTGTATATTTCAATGGGAGGCGATCTCGCCCAGGACATTAACCGCCAGATTCAACTCCAAAGGAAGGAAAGTGTCAATTATACAATGCTATGCACCGACCAACAACGCAGACCTCGAAACGAAAGAAGAATTCTATAGACAACTGCAGACAACAATGGACAATACTCCAGCTGGTGACATCAAAATACTGATGGGAGACATGAACGCCAAACTGGGATCAGACAAAACAGGAAGGGAACTCATCATGGGTAGAGAAGCTCTCAGAGAAATGAATGAAAACGGAGACCTCTTCGCCGACTTCTGTGCCTTCAATGAACTAGTGATTGGTGGCAGCGTATACAAACACAAGGATATCTACAAGGCTACATGGGTGTCACCAGATGGGCGAACCAAAAACCAAATCGACTTCATCTCAATCTCAAGGAAGTGGAGGCGCAGCCTGCTGGACACAAAAGTAAGAAGAGGAGCAGACATTGGCTCAGACCACTATCTCGTACAAGGGACAATCCAAATCAAATTTAAAGCTTTCAGAGAATCAGGGGCTGCAGATAGACCACAAGCCAAGTTGAACACTCAAAAACTGAAGGACCAGGACACAAAGGATATCTTCACTGCAAGTATAAAAGAAAAAGCCGAGACGCAAATCAACACTGGAGAAGAGGTCAGCGTCGAAAAGCACTGGAACAACTTGAAGACAGTGTGGAGTCAAACCTGCATGGAAGTTCTAGGCAGAAAGAAGAGACAGGACAAACCGTGGCTCACTACGGACACTTGGAAACTAATAGAAGAGAGAAGGATGGTGAAACAAAAGATTATCCAGTGCACCGACGAGC